GCGACCAGAGTCACGGAACAAATTAAGTTCGTAAACCGAGGTTCCACTGTATCTCTCCCTGTTATCACAGCATAGTCATGTATAAGGGCTGCAACTTAGATATGTCGTCTTCCTCAGTGCATGTTTTATGGACGTGTTAGGTTAAGTCAATATGGTTGAGGGATTCTGAGTGATTATAAAAACAGCCTTTGGACGTTGGGACTGACTCACTGCTTTCTGAGATTTCTGTATTTGGAAGCTTCGCACTCAAGACCCCGGCTTGCCTTGTGTCCGTTTGTCTTAGAAGATTAGAGTGGGGTGGTAAAGTTGAGTAGTTTAACCTCTGTCAGTTAGGATAAGAGTTTGCTTATTTCAGATAAAAAATATTTTAAAGATAAAAAACATTCATGCTTTTTTTTTTGCATTTTTGCAACCGCCTCTCCAGCTCCTCTCGTAAGTGTTGCATGATGAAACAGGACTGAAAGAGCATTGATCATATTTGTGGATCACCTCTGGTGGGAGCAGGATGGTGTTGTGCGCCCATTCTGGCTCTCTTGATCTCTCAGCGGCTTTTCATGCCCTTAGTCATGGTATTCCTCTGCTCTGGTTCCAGGGGTTGGGAATGGGAGATACAGTTTTGCACTGGTTCTGCTCTTTCTCTGAGACTGGTTCTGGTTGGTGTCGGTAAGGGGGAGAGGTCTGCCCCATGGACCATTTTGTGTGGAGTGGCTCGGGGTTCAACTATCTGTTCCTTATTTAACATCTAGATCAGGGTTTGCTGGCTGGGGAATTCTGGGAGTTGAAGTCCACCCATCTGAAAGTCGCCAAGGTTGAGAAACAGTGATCTAGATGAAGACGCTGGGTGAAGTTATGCTGATGATAACCAGCTCTTCATCTCTTCCCCGGACTGACCAAATGATGCTTGTCTTGTCTCGGTGTGTGGAGGCCATGGGGCTCTGGGTGGAGAAGAACAAGCTTCAGCTCAACCCTAGAGCGCCTCTGGGTGTTAGCCCCCCATCCCCAGATCTGGTGATTTTCCACCTCTAGTTAAGGATGGGTTGCAGTACCCCAAACAGAACCAGAGTGCAATTTGGGGGCCTCCTGGACTCGTGGCTCCTATTTGAAGAGCAAATGGCAGCTGTGGCCAGGAGGGCCTTTGCACAACTTTGTCACGTGTGCCAGTTGTGTCCTTTCCTGGACCCAGAGCATTGCTCACAGTCACTCATGCCTTGGTCACCACCTGAGTGGATTACTGCAATGTGCTATATATGGGGCTGCCCTTGAGGAACATCTGGAAACTGCAGCTGGTCCAGAATGCAGCAATGCAGATAGTTGTGGTTATCTGTTAGCACACCCATGTTACACTTCTGCTCCATGAGCTGACTGGCTCCCCGTATGCTTCAGGTGCAATTCAAGATGCCAGTGGTCACTTAGTGTAGAGACTCGGGAAGATGACCTTGACGGAGATAGGCAGGAACTGTTACCTAGAAAAAGGGGCTAAAGCATTTTTAAGTCCAGAATGTCCAGATAACATTCAAGGTGACACTGACAGGTGCCTCCCTAATTCACTGAACTGTAAGGAGAAGGAGGTCCAGCAGAATGAGACTTGCAAGATTCTGTTCTTACAGCCCATCTCAGTAAGGTAGTTTTAGCTTTCCTCTATAGAGTCATGTCCTGGTCTGGTCCACCTAGTGGGGCTGACCCCTATAAAACTTTTCATGGCATCCATTCTTTGCAAGACAGCTTCTCCCCAGTTTTTTCTACCCATCCCATCAGATCCAGCAGGAGAGGCATGCTGGGGTTCCGTTCATTACAGAACGTCGCCTTGCAGGACCCAGAAAGTGGGCCTTCTCGGTTGCAGGGCCTGCTCTTTGTAATACCACGCCTTCAAAATTAGATTGACCCTGACCCTGCCACCTTTTCAAAAAACCCTTAAGACTTGGAGGTGCTCCAGGCATGGGGCCTAGGGGGTTAGTGGGACCCCGTGGGGCTTTCCTAGAGTATTAGATCTGTTTTTACCTTGGTGGTTCTTATAGGTTTTATGGGCACTGCCACCACCAACATACAAATTAAAACCCAAACCAACCAGCATATAGGTTTGATATTCTGGCTGGTTTTGATTTTTATTTGTATGTTGTTATCTGTTGCTAGCTGCCCAGAGTCATTACGGTGAGACGGTTGGCTGTATAAATCTAATTAATTAAATAAAAGTTATAATTGGCCTCTTCCTGTATTTGTTTGCAGCCAGTTTGGAATGAGCACACAAGAGTAGGGCAAGTTTTCATACTCCTGCGAGTCTTTTTGGTCGGGAAAAAGGCCCCCTGGGGTAATACTCTTGTATATTTGTCCATCCGCTTTGCTTGAAGGTCTCCTGTTTCTTTCCCAGGCTGGATCCTGATCGATCGTTGTGGAAAGCATTTTGGAACCATCTTAAATTATCTCCGGGACAATACGGTCATTCTACCCAAGAACCGGCAGGAGATCAAGGAGCTGATGGCCGAAGCCAGATATTACCTCATCCAGGGCTTGGTGGACCTCTGTCAAGCTGCCTTGCAGGTAAGAGAGCTGTATATGCTGAATTGTAGAAGCTTAGAGATGGAAGGGAGCCTGGAGGTCATCCAGCTCAACCCTTTTTCCTCAAGGCAAGAACCCTGCTCTAAAAGCATCCCTGACAGGTGACATCCAGTGTTTATTTAAACTTCTTTGGGTAAGGATAGACTGCAGCCTCCCACGTAATTTATTATTCTAGAGATGGGGGCCCATATGGCCCTGCGGTCCTGAATTTGGGGCCTTTGGACCCCCCCCAGAATGGACAACCACAAACATTTCAGGCCCTCTTCCTCTGTTTTAAGAAGTGAAATGGTGTCTTAAACTTTAAAAGCCTTCACATTCTTAGAAGACTCGGAAGAGGCTCTCCTGGAATCTGTTCAGGCCATTCTCACTCCTTCTTATGGGGAGGGCAGAATTAACCATCAAAATTCTCTGCAAGGTTTAAGACATAAATTATGCCCTTTAACAGCCCCCCAAGTTCCTTGGCTTAAAAAAAAAAAGCCTGGTGTGCTTTCTAACTTAAATCTTCATTTCTGCAGTTCAGAACAACGAGATTTCAGAAGGAGAGGCAGTCCACCCTGCCTTAATCTGTCTGGATGTGTGCACTTCTCTTTGCAGGACAAGAAAGAGACCTACCATCCTATCTGCAATATTCCTGTCATCACATCTCCCAAAGAAGAAGAGAGACTCATTGAGTCAGCCATGAAGGTATTGAGGGGGGAGGAGGAGAGAATGAGCAGAAGAAAAGGGCCGGGTTCACACATTGCACGAAACCAGGACGGCAGAACATTCAGCGTGCGGGCTGCCCCCTTTTGTTTTACTCGATTCGTTAGGGTGGCCTGACTCCAAAACGTCACTTAAATAGCATTTCCCTCTTTTAGAAACCCCAAAAGCTCCAACGCACGGATCCTGGCCTCAAGCTTGGTGTAGCCCTTTTGCTGGCAGAGGTTAAGTGCAGCCTGCCCTGAGCCCGTCTCAGGGGAGCTCAGAACGGCTTCCCTGGGATGAGACCAAGGTCTCTGCCCATCTGGAGTATCTGGGTTCTCCTGGGTGTCGGAGGACTGTTTCCATCTCCTTTGACCACTGACCACGCTGACTCCAGGGTCACCTGGAGAGGAGCAGGTTCCCCTCTTTCTGTCTGCCGGGGGCGTCAACAGACGCTGCAGGGAAGTGTGCCAGCGGGTTTCTCCATGGCTTCCAGAAACACACTGCCAGAGCTGTGTTGGGAATCTGAAGGCCTGGCAGGGCACATCACCTCCAAGGCCTGCTTCTTCTCCTTTCTGCCAGTGCAAAGCACCTGAGTCAGGAACGGGTGGTCTCAGTTTCCCATAATGCCCTGGGAATGTTCAGGGCCACTGTTTCCAGAGCATTGTGGGAACTACAGCAGCAAGTCTCCGCGTGCTGCTATTGGCACCCAGCGGCACAAAAGTTTGGTGTTCTCTCTTCTGCCTGCATTGATACCCCTTTTCTCCCCCCTCTTTTCAGCCGGTGGTGAAGCTTCTTTATAACCGAAGCAACAACAAATACTCGTACACAAGGTAAGCACCTCCGCTCTCTGGGCTAAGGTGAAACTTAAGGACAAGGCATCGTCCGATCCGCCATTCTGTCCTTGTGGTGATCCACCAGTGGCATCTAGGAAGATCCCAAACAGACCTAAAAGCTTTGCAGAGCTGTACAGATACTGAAAGATAATGCATTCCTTATTTGTGTTTGAATAGAGCCACATTGTGTTTCAGGGCAGAGTGGACCCTCCAATCTGTTGCATGGTTACAATTCAGAAGCACAGGTTTGAGGACCTGGGACTGCTCCTCCAGAATTTG